TGAGTCAAACCACCCCTCCCGCCAAAGGTTCAGCCCTCTCCGAGGCACACGGTATGGGACGCGCGGGGGGTCTTACCTTGCCGGGCTCCTCCGGCTCCTCCGGCAGAGCGGCAGTGGGAGCGGCGGCCGCCTCGGTTGGCGTCTGCCCCTCAGGGCTGCCGGGCTGGGACTCTCCCGCGACGGTCGCCCCGTCCTGGGGACTCCGCTGCTCTGCGGAGCTGCCGGCTCCCATGGCTCTTGTCGGCGGCTGTGTGGTGAGAGGCTCCCTCACGGCTCTCCTGCCCAGCGACCCGGCGCTTCCTGCCCAGGAATGATAACGAGATGGTAGCAGTAATAAAGATGTCCAGGCAGCAGCAGCAGCAGCAGCAGCGCCCGCCCTCTCTTCCTCCGCCGCTCAGGAAAGCGCTCAAGCTGCGACTGAGGAAGCCCAGTAGCTTTCTGCAAACTCCTTGGGTGAGCGAGAGAAGGCAACAAAAAACACACCTCCCTCCCTCGTCCCCCCGCCCGCCTCTCACTGCTGCTCCATCACATGAGCAGGGCTCCGGACACGCCTTGCAGCATCAAACCTGGAGCCGAGAAAGAAGGAACGGGAGGGAGAGACAAGCTAGCATCCCGCCACTCTTACCAAGGTAGCTCTGGGCCGGGCCTCCTTTTTTTTTTTTCCTCACCCCCCCACTCCCTCCACCTAGCCCTTTCGAGTTCTTCTAAGTGCCCACGACAGGAAGGAGCAGGGTCACCTTCTTCTCCCCCTCTCGCGTTAGATTAATGGGCCATAATTCGATTACTCAGAGACTAGGAGAGAAAGTGGCTGAGAGGGAGGGAGGGAGGGAAGAATGACCTTCAGCTTTCAGCTAAACATGCTCTCCCTTTCCTCGCATTGAAGACTGAGGAAGGCTCTGATGAGGCGTTTTCAAGTGTTTCCTGGCGCGGCCAGGGCAGCGCGCATACACTTAGCTGCTAAACATAAATCATCAGGGACAAGAATCGCCAGATATCCCTTATTTCATAGCTTCCCGTGCAGCTCAACACAAAATAAGGGATGTCTAATACTTGAGGTTCTATAGATCTGGGTGGCCACCTTTTAAACTTCAAAATTTAAAGCAAGAATTCCAACCTGTGAGTGGGGGATTTATATGTATATCCTAAATCTATCTGTATTAATGTACACAGATATATGTATATACAGCCAGACCTGGTCTTTAAACTGTCAGGGCTTTTTCATACATGAAACACGTGGTCCCAAAAGAACATTTGTATAGTTCAAAATTTGAAAGCTGAAAAAAAATCCTTTTATGTTAACTGATGTAAAAAAGTGGCTGATAACAAAATGAAAAGTACAAGGGTATCCATTTCTCCCACCCCTCACCTACCACAGGTGCTTCATACAGAACCCCCAATTCTTCTACAAAATATTCAGTGATGGTTCCAGGATGAAGAAAATCTTTCCACAACATGGGACCCTGTGATTTCTGCATTGATAAATGATACACACCTTCCTGTAATATATATCCAGAGTTATAAAAGTCAATGATTTTTTTTAAAAAAATTCAAATTGATTTAAATCTCCATTTAAATTCTAAAAAATGGATTTCTGGCAATTTAAATTAAAAAACTATTAAAAAATGTAGATCATTATTTCAATTGTGATTTAAATCAATTTGATTTTTTTTAAAAAAAATAGTTGATTTTCATCCACTATGGCTATGGCCAAACTGGCATTGGACATAAATCCACTTATAGGTATTTTTATAAGGCTTTACTTTAATGTGTTTCTCCACAAATATGGCGTATCAGTGCACAGATGGCACATGATCTCCAGACAGACCCAAGACTGGTTGTTGAATACAGCACTATGTTGATGTTTTTAAGATTTTATCAAAGTAGAGAGGGAAGATCTTAAAAAGAATATCTGCATCCTTTCTGATTCTTGCCCGTAACATTGACATAAGCAGTGCACACATTATCATAGCAGCTTTGCGTGACTATTCTAACAGTCGTACAAGAAGTTAATGACATCCAGGGATGGAGAAGCAGCAGTTGTACATTGATAAAACAGGAAAATACAAAAGTACAAAAAGCATTGATGGCTCCTTATCTCATTGCAAGGTAGTACTAAATTGATAATGACGGAATTGTCTTTCAGTAAAATATAAGCCTGAAACATTTTAAACACTTTGAGTAATATGCAGCACCTAATCCAAGCAGGACACACACTCATTTCACTATTTCTCAGGTTAAATGCTCCCCTTCTCAGGCCCTAAGTTGTCCTTGCTTTGAACTATGTTTCTAAAGCCCTAGCATTTTATAAATTCAATTTCTGGTCACTGCCTCAGTTAAGACATACCATGACCACCACCACTGATTCACATGTTAAATTTACAGTGCAGTTCATTATTTAGAAGAAAAAAATATGTTGATACTAAGAAATAGTTTAATTTCCTCTTATATGGATAATTCTTGTAATTGAGACATATATTCTGAGAAAGCACCTCCATCCAATTTTAGTTGTGCATCGTGAACAGGTCTAGTATCTGAAGATGGTGATGCACAACAGAAGTGATTTAGAAGTATCTAAATCACTGAACATATTAAATGAGTGCAGTGGACGCTGGCTGATCATTCTTTCAACTTGGTATGAGGAAGTTTCCTTTGTTCTCTGTTGCACTGTGGCTGTAGAATTTATTGCAGTGAGTTTTATCTGGTAAACAAAGGTAAGGGAGAAGGAGAAGCCGTGATGGCTAATGGGCTGGCACAGAGAGATGTCCCTCTGAAATTTTGGAACGAGGTACTTCTGCCACTGGGGAAAAAGCAATAAGGGACGTTGCCAATCAAAAGGAATAAGAGTTTGTAGTTCATCACATACTGCCCTCTTAGGCAGCCTAGAAGATGCTGCCCTATATCCACTGGTGCCAAGAGCCACTGTTCAGTAATAGCATATGAACAGATTAATGTGTAATGCTTTGTTCATTGTATCACTAATTCTTCTCATGATCAGAAGAGTAGAGGGCAGGTCTCTTTGCATCAGTTTGAAATTATAGTATTGGGAGTGCAGCATGGAAAAGCTGTTTTACAATGGTTCAGCCCCTTGCCATAATAAAAAATATAGATAGAATTCCGAAACATCAGCTTATTTTTATTAATAACTTAACTTATTTTAATTATTAATAAGTGTATAAAATAAGTGGTAGGGAAATGGTTAATACATTCCTTATTATATAAAAAAGATTATAGCCTAGAATGTGTTTTAAAGAGAAGGGGCATGTGGAAGGGAGTTCCACAGATACTAAAGGAACTTTTTTTCTGAATGTATGAGGATGTGTGTTGATATAAGAATAGTAAACAGTTAAAGGCAAGGTTTTCTTATTTGGCACCTTAATCGTTTGTCTAAATTTTTGTATTTTATTCTTCTAAGTTTCAGGAGGCATTTACACATCAATGTATGTTCTAAATCAATGAGGTGCTGTAGAAAGCGAGCAAGAAAAGAAGACAACAAAATAAAGTCCCAGCCTTCAAGCTGCACCAGGGTAAATATACAGATTTGTTTTCATGCAAAACAGGTTATTTATGTAATTTCTGAGATCAGATTACATTACAGTGTTAAACAGAAGAAAACAAGGAACGTGGGATTGTCTGTCCTAGTAGAGAATTAATCTACCTCCCTTTCCCATGGAGTAATGGTTGGTCCAGTCTGTGTAGTCGTAAGAGTTGGTATAAGGTATGAAGAGAGTCTTATCTTAAAATATATTTGAAATAATAACAGGCAGTTTACATATATGTACAGGTTTTCCAAATTTAATTACATTTTTAATGAAAGGGACCTAATTCTTCAGTATTTTAAAAGTCAAGATCCATTTTGGGCCACACTCTGTAAGGCCGCGCAGGAAGCAATGTGTCACTTCAGTGCGAAGGGTTGGTTCAGTTGCACTGCCAGAGGGGCCCTGTACACTAGCGGAAGAATGTACCCCGTATGTCTTTCTGTTATATTAACATTTCATTTTAGTACTGTATTTATTTCTACAGAATTTTAGGAGCTGAAGTCAGTTATTTCTTAAAAAAAATCATGTCCAGCAATCTATTAGCATTGTTGTTGATGCAGGATGTGAACCAAAGGGTCAAGCCTGAAAATTAGGAATTAAATCCTAAGAATTTGCAGGTGGGATGACGTGTTTGCAAAATCACTGATTTTTTAATTTTAAGGAGGGATTGGAATGATTCCTGTTGAGGAAATTAATATGGGGAGGAGGATGACCTGAACTTGTTGTTGTTACTTAACACATACTTTGCAGCCTTGCTGGTGCATGGGGAGGACCAAAGGATCATGCTTAAAAATTAGAAGTCAAATCCTAAACATTTGTGGGTGAGCTGACATTTTTGCAAAATTACCAAGTTCTGAAATTCAGGAAAAAAATTAGCATCTTTTGTGATTGTTTTAAATTTTGGAAGAACTCCAGTTGCTGAAATTAGTATAAGGACGACGACGACGACGACGACGACTACTACTACTACTACTACTACTAGTAGTAGTAGTAGTAATAGTAGTCGTCGTCGTCGTCGTCGTCGTCCTTATACTAATTTCAGCAACTGGAGTTCTTCCAAAATTTAAAACAATCACAAAAGATGCTAATAATAATAATAAATAGAGCCTCATGGTGTAGTCAAGAATCTGCTCATAACCTGGGTTAGATCCTGACGTGCTCCGGTAGCTAGCTCAAACGTCCATCTTTCCAAGATTGGTAAATTGTCTGCACAGCTCATTGAGGGGGGGCAATGGGTAGGCTGTATAATTAAATTGTAAACTGCCTAGAGAGAGCTCTAAGCAGTATGGGGTGGTATGTAAGCAGCACACTTTTTTATTTAACAACAACAACAATAAGAATTTTTCTTTGTGGAAGCTAATATTGATCATAGGAATCTTACTGTAATAGGAATGTTAGGATTTTACCTTGCAAGGTGGGATTGCAGAATGCAAAGCCATCATATAAATCATTGGTAAAACAGTTGTGGTTCTGAAAACCAAGAAGAGGTAATTGGATCACTGATATGCAGCGTTAATCCTATCTACAAACAGATGCCACCAGAATAAATGAGATTGCCTTCCAAGTAAAGTGTGTAGAATCAGGAGGAGAATAACATTGCTATTTTTTTTCAATGTGGTATGTTTAAAACTACACGTTGGATCAAAAAGAGAGGTAAGTTTCTTTTAAAATCTTTATGCATTCCTCCAGATCCTTTATTACATCCAATCCTTCACACTAATTTATACTTCTATTTTCTCCAGTCGTTTAGTGATGCAGTTCTCTTTTCATGGGTTGTCTGTCTACATTGCAAGTTACACTGTTTTAGCAGTATTTTATTCTAAGGTTAAATATGACTTTTCATCTGAACAAATAATTACTTTAAACAAGTGAGAGGATGACAGGCTCTTCTGGATGAAACCAATGCCCTGGATCCATTCCAGTCAGGCTTCAGGCTGCGCCATGGCATGGAAACTGCATTGGTCCCCCTGTTTGATTACCTATTGAGGGAGGCTGACAGGGGCAAAATGTCTCTGCTGGTCCTTCTCAGCCGCCTTTGATACTGTCAACCACGGTATTCTACTGGGGCTGCTCTCCGAGTTGGGAATCAGTGGCCTTGCTCTTGCCTGGCTCCGTTCCTTTGGCAGATTGCCCAGCTGTGTCTCTATCTTGATGTGGGGGCACTCACTACATTGGTCCATGCGCTCGTAGTCTCAAGATTAGACTACTGTAATGCGCTCTACGTGGGGCTGCTTTTGAGACTGACGCGGAAACTTCAGATGGTACAAAATGCAGCAGCCAGACTTCTGACTGGAGTGAAAAGATACCAACATATCTCCCCCATGCTGGCCGCTTTGCATTGGCTGCCCATCCATTTCCACGTTGATTTCAGAGTTCTTACATGTAAAGCCTCACACAGTTTAGGACCTCAATAACTGCCAGAGCACCTTCTCCCACCCAGTTCTGCCAGAGTCACTCGTTTCAGCCAGGCCGGGCGACTGAGGGGCTTAATGCCGAGGGAGGTCTGGAAGGAAAGAATGAAGAACAGGGCCTTCTTGGCAGTGGCCCCTCGCCTTTGGAACAACTTCACCATGGTGATCCACCTGGCTCCCTCTCTGGGTGTTTCCAGGAACAAACTTAAAACCTGGCTATTTGGGCAGGCTTTCCCTCTGGCCATATCTTAACTGCCATATCTTGATTATTTATGATTCACCATCTTGGCCTCTTTGTTTTTTGGTTTTATTGTTTTTAAATTTATAAGCCGCCCAGAGTAGACCCTTGGTCTAGATGGGTGGGATAGAAATCTGATAAATAAATAAATAAACTTACCATGCCTTGAATAACTGTTAAAATACTATGGGGGGAACACTGCTGCTCACTCTTTTTTTTTTTTCAGTCCTATTGGCTTGCCCGCCAGTGCTTTCTGCTGTGTTCTAAACAGCTGTTTCTCAACTGCCACCATTCAGAACTAGAATGTTAGCACAGTCCACCTGAGTTTACTGTGGGGGATCTGGGCTTGTCCATAGCAATAAGAGTAGGGTGTGTAAAACCAGTACAGCTGCATGTTCTTAGCAGGAAAGATTTATAAGAATTCCCCTAATATCATTGGCATGGCTCTCACAGCTTTTATGTGTTAGCATTCACAGTCAATACCATGATTTTTTAAATGTACTTGGTTGTCAGACCCTGGGTGAAATCTTGTTGCTTAGTGTTGCAAGGCACACTAGAATAGGCTCACTGAATCAATGAAGATTGGGTGACTCAAATTTTTGATTCAAATGGGACTATATTGCAACTTACTGTTCTTAGGATTTCAGCAACTGTATTGTTCTTTAAAGATGACTGCTACGATTTCTCTGGGTGAGGTTTCTTTTCCATCGAGGCTGATACAATTATTCAACATGGTGGGTTTTTACATAAGAACATAATATAAGAACATAAGAAGAGCCCTGCTGGATCAGGCCAAGGGCCCATCTAGTCCGGCTTCCTGTATCTCACTGTGGCCCCACTAGATGCCTCTGGGAGCACACAAAACAACTAGATACCTGTCTCCTGATACCCCTTCCCCTGCATCTGGCATTTTGAGGTGCCTTCCTTTCAAGCCTAGAGATTATACATCCCCATGCCATGAACCTTTCCTCCAGGAATTTCTCCAATCCCGTTTTAAAGGCATCTAGGTCAGATGTCATCACCACATCGTGTGGCAAGGAGTTCCACAGACTAACGCTGGGTCAAGAAATACTTTCTTTTGTCTATTCTCATTCTCCCAGCACTCCATTGGAGTGGATGTCCCCTGGTTCTGGTATTGCGTGAAAGGTAAAAGAGCTTCTTTCTAATCATTTTATTCATCCCCTGCATCATTTTATAAGTCTCAATCATGTCCCCCCTCAGGCGTTTTTTCTCCAGACTAAAGAGCCCCAAATGCTGTACCCTTTCCTCATAAGGGAGGTGCCCCAGCCCAGTCATCATTTTAGTTGCTGTCTTCTCCACCTTTTCCAATTCTACTATGTCATTTTTTTTTTTTGAGGTGTGGCGACCAGAACTACAGGTGTGGCCTTCCTAGAGTTTTGTGTCATGACATAATGTTGGCTGTTTTATTTTACATCCCCTTTTAAATTATACCTAGCATGGAATTGACCTTCTTCACCACCACCGCAGACTGGGTTGACACTTTCATCGACCTGTTCACAAGCACACCAAGATCTCTTTCCTGATCCGTCATGGACAACTCAGAACTCGTTTTCTTTTTTCTTTGTTTTTCTTTTCTTTCTTTTTAATTTAACATGACAAGATACTAAGTTTTTATACTCCTGGAGGATTCCTGTTTGATACCCTGTCTGCTGGTCTGCAGGGTCCTTTAGGGCACTGGTTCTTAACCTTGGGTTACTCAGGAGTTTTGGACTGCAACTCCCAGAAGCCTTCACCACCAACTGTGCTGGCTGGGGTTTCTGGGAGTTGCAGTTCAAAAACATCCAAGTAACAAAGGTTAAGAACCACTGCTTTAGGGTTATGTTTTATCCCTTGTGCTATTTAACATCTACTGAAACAGCTGAGAGAAATTGAGATATACCCATTCCTTGAGATCTCTAATTTGACTACAATGACAAAAGCTTTAGTTACATCTCTTTTGAATCATTGTAATGCACTCTATGTGGTCCTGCATTTCGAAAGTTTTCAAAAACTTCGCTGAGTCCAAAACTCTGTGACCAGATTGCCTACTGGGTCCATTTGCAGGGAACATATAACTTCCCTGTTAAAGCAGCTATGTTTTCAAGTGCTGGTTATTAATCTATAAAGTCCTAAATGACTTGGATGTAAGCTGTCTAAAACAGTGGTTCTTAACCTTTGTTACTCAGATGCTTTTGAACTGCAACTCCCAGAAACCCCTGTCAGCACAGCAGGTGGTGAAGGCTTCTGGGAGTTGCAGTCCAAAACTCCTGAGTAACCCAAGGTTAAGAACCAGTGGTCTAAAAGACCATACAGTATCTCCCTTTATGGGGCTACCAGGGTATTAGGATCATCAGGAGCCTTTCTCTCAGCCCCATCACCTTCACAGGTGCGTTTGGTAGGGACACAGGAGAGGGCCTTCTCTGTTGCTTCTCCTAGACTTTGGAACTCCCTCCCACAGGAGGCCAAGCTAGCCCATCTTTGCTGTTCTTCCACAAGCAGAGAAAGACCTTTCTATTCAGGCAGGGTTTTCTTTAAATTACTAGTTAACCAATATTGCTCTTATTTATTAATTTTAATATGATATTTGTTTAATTTTTTTAATTATTGGATTTTTGTTATCAGCTAGGGACTTACTCTTACATTCTTATGTGATGAAGTTACACAAACTGATTTGAGGTTGATTTCTGAATGAATGTAAGGCTGCTGGCATTTTTTAAAAAAACTAGAAAAATACTATCTGGTTAAAAGCTTGATAATGTAATCCTTAACAGACAAGAAGATTCAAGCATGAAAGGAGAATGCAGAAAAAGGCATAATTTGCTCAGGGCAACAACAAAAAATCTTGTGGTGACTCTGTGGCCATTTATATTGTTTGAAGTGAGCAAATAAGTCTCAAAGTTAATTAGATGTATGCATATTTTGACATTCATTCTCTGTCCCAGTTGTGCATAGAGCAATGAAAAATATAAGGTATACAATGACTTTGTATTCTTTATTTCAGCAGGCATTTTTAAAATTGTAAAATCAAACTTTACTGTTGTTTATTTAATTTTTATCTATTTAATTATATTTTTATCCTGCCCAACTAGTGGCAAGGCCACTATTCTGGGCAGCAAACAAGTACTGTAGCATAATATAAAGATACAAAATCCAATAATTCACATAAAATGACATAAAAACATAGTTTCTTTATATGTGTTATTTATTATTGATATTTTAGTTCTTGATTATATATTTATTTTATTATTTATTTATTTATATTTGTTTTTAAATATAAAAATTCATTCTTTTTAAAGAAATCTTTAACACATTGTTAACATTATTCTCAATAAGCTTGCACTGACTAGCATGGCTTCTTCATTGAAAACTACTCCTAAATAAATCCACTGATGGAACCTGGATGGACCACTTTGAGAGTGCAGAGTACTGTAGATTGGTGTCAAGACTGGTAGTATCTGAACAGCTCCCTAGTTCAGGAGCATTACATTTTAGTCTATAATGAACTATATTGAACTGTTAAGATGGACGTGCATTAGAACAGCAGTTCTTAACCTTTTCTTTACCGTGGATTCCCTTTAAAGATTTTTTTGTTGCTGCGGACCTCCAAGACTTAACTTAAGTTTTAAAACCCCAAAATGCATCAAATATTTATTTAAAGTTTCTCATGAAGGGTTTCATCAACATATAGTTCTTGCTATAATGGTGACATTTTTTAAAATGACTGGACAAAGCTTCATTTTGCTTTAAACAGGATGTGCCCTCATCAACAGCATCAGTTCTTTTACATTTCAAATTCAGCCAGTGAACCATTCTGAGGCTCACCCAAAATGTATTGTGATAATATTAAAAATCATTCTACCCAACAATAAACAAATGCTTTTATTATTTTATTGACACCACATTTCAAGAAGGATGCTAACAAATTGGAACAAATTCAGATGAGGGCAACAAGGGTGATCAGGGGGCTGGAAACCAAGCCTTATGAGGAAAGGCTGAAAGAATTGGGCATGTTTAGCCTTGGGAAAAGAATACTGAGGAAATATACGATAGCACTTTTCAAATATTTGAAAGGCTGTCATACAGAGGAGGTTCTTGATCATCCCAGAGTACAGGACATGCAACAATGGGCTCAAACTAAAGAAAGCCAGATGTCAGTTGAATATCAGGAAAAATTCCTAACTGTTAGAGCAGTACAGCAGTGGAACCAGTTACCTCAAGAGTTGGTGAGTGCTCCAACACTGGAGACATGCAAGAAAAACTTAGATAATCACCTGGCAGATATGCTTTGATTGTATTCCTGCACTGAGCAGGGGGTTGGACTTGATGGCCCTTCCAACTTCACTTTTCTATGATTCTATGATTAGCAGAAATCAAAGAAGTCCAGACACTCACACTGAAACTGACTTACTCTGACTCTCTCTCTTCTCATGACTTCTGACCGCGCAGTAGCAAGAAGTGTCACATGTTGTCTCTCAGCCACTCAGCGCAATTCTACCATGTGCAGAAATATCAAACTGTTAGTTTCACAATGAAATTTTTTATTTTGTTTGTTTTTAATGGAGCTGGTAGGTTAGAAAAGCCAAGTTTTACACAAATAACCAAGGAAAATTAAGATTTTGTTCTACATTTCCTTTTCATTCATCCATTCATTCATTCATTCTGTTTTAACTGCAAAAGATCATAACATTTCTTCAAGCCTTCGCAGACCCCCCTGTGAAGACATTGTGGCCCCCTCAGAGGTCTGAGGACCACGAGTTAGTAACCTATATATTAGAATAACAAGTGGAACTATCATCTGACTTGATCAGTACCAAGGATATTAAACTGGGTAATTGGATTAAGATTTTTCTCATCTCTGCAGAATTAAATGGGTGATTCTGAGGCCTCTGTATATTCACAATGAGCTGCACAATCAAGTCATTTTCTTTTTATAGCCCAACTTTTGTTTTCCTGTTTTGATGTACACTACAGATTCAAAAACCTTGACCAAACCATTCTTAATTACACAGAACGAAAGCTCATATGATCTTCTCGTGATCTCTGTAATTCTTCTGTGGTCTCCTCTTATAATTGTTCCCATCCAAAAAAAACAGGCAACAGGCTTGTTTGGAATCAGACAGGTACTTCAAGGTTCACATTCCCTTCTGCTCTGAGCTACATTAATATTTGTAGAGAACTGCTCAGTGGGAAGCATGTTTTCTTTACAAAGAAGCAGCAAAGGAGCTGATT